TTTCCTGATTTTTCAATTTGTCGTTTATTTTTTGGTTTAAATGTTAATTTTAGTCAAAATAACAAACAACGGGGCATTAAAAAAACAAACAAAAAGGCGAATAAACGCGACAAAATCGATTAAAAAAAGGTGACAAATAAAGGACAATAAGAGGGATCAACAAAAAAAAAACCTATAATGGACGGGTAAAAAATGCCTTTAAAAAAACAAAATAAATGCTGAAAAAGGGCAGAGAAAGAGTGAAAAAAGAGAAACAAAAAAAAAACGAAAAACAGGGAAAAAGTGCGATAAAAAAACCTCAAAACTCGAAAATTTTCAAAAAAATTGAAAACAGGTTCAAAAGAAAGGCGAAAAAACAAACACAAAAGGCACAAAAAACATCACAAAAAAATTGCTAAATGAAAGGTTAAAAAAAATATGGGGAAAAGACAGAAAAAAGTAAAAAAAAAAATCTCGAAAAAAGCCAAAAAAGGGTAAAAAATGGTCAAAAAATGGGAACAAATTGTCAAAAAATGCGGAAAAAAGGACATGAAGAAGATAAAAAATGGGGAGGGAGCGGCTAAAAGGTCACATACAGCAATAAAAACATACAAAAACGGCAACAAAAATGGGGGAAAATGTCAAAATAAAGCGGGGGAAAAAATACGAAAAAAATGCCAATAAAGAAAGACGGAGGAAAAAAGACGGAAAAAGCCAGAAAAAGGTGCAAAAACGCCATAAAAAAGGACAATAAAAGAAAAAGAACAACAAGTGGACAACAAAAAAACGACAAAGGGCGAAATAAATGCGGAAAAAGGGCAGAAAATGGGTGAATAAAGGGAAAAAAGGGACAACAAAAAAGACGATAAAAAAGGGACAACAAAAAAGACGATAAAAAAGGGACAACGGCAAAATTCATCACAAAACAAAACCAAAGAATGCGAATGAAACAAGGAACAAAAAATATGAAAAACGCGAAAACAAAAGGGCTAAAAAATTGCCAAAAAAAAGGCGAAATAAAGGTTTAAAAAAAAGAAATCAAACAAAGACAAGGAAAAGGCGAAAAAAGCGTCATAAAAAAACAGCAAGAAAACAACAAAAGTCAAACATGAGACAAAAAAGGCCTAAAGAAAAAAACAATAGAAAAAACTAAATAAAGAAGGCGTAACAAAAAAAACATTCGAAAAAAAATGCGAAAAAAGGACGATAAAAAAACACAAAATAAAGATGAAAAAAAGATTAAAAATCGTGGGAAAACATACAAAAAAAGTTAAAAAAAAACACTTAAAACGTGAAATAAAAACGGGAAAAAAGGCGGAAATGGTTTAAGAAAAAGACAGAAAGGGACTAAAAAATTGGCAAAAAAGACGAAAAAAGAATGTGAGGACAAACTGCAAAAAAGCAGGAAAAGGTGAAAAAAAGACAAAAACGCCACAACTAGGAGAAACAAAAAAATCATAGGAATAAGCAAAAAGAAAAGAAAAAAAGAAAAAAGAGAGAAAAACGGTAAAAAAAGAAGGTACAAAAAGCATCATAATCAGGGCAAAAAAAAACAAAAAAGACGGGGGAAAGCGGGAAAATAAGGCAAGTGGAATAAAAAAGGCTAAAAAAAATTACAAACAATGCGAAAAATGAAAAAATGCAGGAAAAATTCATCACAAAAAAAAAACAAAAATGCGAATGAAATAAGGAACAAAAAACATGAAAAAAGCGAAAACAAAAGGGCTAAAAATTGCCAAAAAAGGCGAAATAAAGGTTTAATAAAAATAGGAAAGCAAAAATAAGACAAGGAAAAGGCGAAAAAAGCGTCTCAAAAAAAGAGCAACAAAACAAACAAAAAAAAGTCAAATAAGGCTTAAAGAAAAAAAGAACGATAAAAAAACACACAAAAGTGGAAGAAAAAAGGCGAAAAAGAGATAAAAGAATCGACAAACAACGACATAAAACGAGAAATAAAGGCAGAAAATAAGGTAAAAAAACACAAAAAGGTAAAAAGAGTAAAAAAAAGATTAAAAATGGTGGGAAAACATACAAAAAAAGTTCAACAAAAAAAAAACACTTAAAACGTGAAATAAAACGGAAAAAAGGCGGAAATGGTTTAAGAAAAAGACAGAAAGGGACTAAAAAATTGGCAAAAAAACGAAAAAAGAATGTGGGGACAAAATGCAAAAAAGCAGGAAAAGATGAAAAAAAGACAAAAACGCCACAACCAGGAGAAACAAAAAAATCATAAAAAGAAGCAAAAAGAAAAGAAAAAAAGAAAAAAGAGAGAAAAACGGTGAAAAAAGAAGGTACAAAAAGCATCATAATCAGGACAAAACAAAAAACAAAAAAGACGGCGAAAAGCGGGAAAATAAGGCAAGTGGAATAAATAAAAAAAGCTAAAAAAATTACAAACAAGGCGAAAAATGAAAAATTGCAGGAAAAATTCATCACATAAAAAAACAAAAATGCGAATGAAATAAGGAACAAAAAACATGAAAAAAGCGAAAACAAAAGGGCTAAAAATTGCCAAAAAATGCGAAATAAAGGTTTAAAAAAAAAGAGGAAAGCAAAAATAAGACAAGGAAAAGGCGAAAAAAGCGTCACAAAAACAGAGCAACAAAACAAACAAAAAAAGTCAAACAAGGCTTAAAGAAAAAAAAGACGATAAAAAAACACACAAAAGTGGAAGAAGAAAGGCGAAAAAGAGATAAAAGAATGGACAAAGAACGACATAAAACGAGAAATAAAGGCAGGAAATAAGGTAAAAAAACACAAAAAGGTAAAAAGTGTAAAAAAAATGCGGGAAAAGATTAAAAATGGTGGGAAAACATACAAAAAAAGTTCAACAAAAAAAAAAAAAATTAAAACGTGAAATAAAAACGGGAAAAAAGGCGGAAATGGTTTAAGAAAAAGACAGAAAGGGACCAAAAAATTTGCACAAAAGACGAAAAAAGAATATGGGGACAAAATGCAAAAAAACAGGAAAAGGTGGAAAAAAAAGACAAAAAACGCCACAACCAGGAGAAACAAAAAAATCACAGAAAGAAGCAAAAAAAAAATAAAAAAAAAATAGAGAAAAACGGTGAAAAAAAAGGTACAAAAAGCATCATAATCAGGGCAAAAAAACAAAAAAGACGGGGGAAAGCGGGAAAATATGGCAAAAAAGTGCAAAAAAGGGCTAAAAAAATTGCAAAGAATGCGAAAAATCAAAAATGCAGGAAAAAATGCATGAAAAAGACGAACAAAAAGGACGAAAGAAAAAACACAAAAAAAAGCGTCACAAAAAAGACGACCAAAAAGGGCAAAAAAACACAAAAATGCAAAAAAGGTGGAAAAAAGCCAAAAAAGGTCTGGAAAAAAGGGACAAAAGGCAAATTATATCACAAAAAAAAAACAAAAGAATTCCGAATGAAACAAGGAACAAAAAAAAACATAAAAAAAATGGGACAAAACGACATTTGAATTTCTCGATTTTTCGATTTTGGGCTACGTCTATTTCTTAATTTTTCGACTTCTTGATTTCTTGAATTCTCGATCTTTTGATTTTTGAGTGTTTCAATTTTTCGATTTTAAACATTTTTAATATGTATTTCGATTTTTCAAATTTCGGTTTTTAAATTTTTCGGTTTTTTTAAGTTTAATTAAATGTTTCAGTTTCGAATATTTCGATTTGGGCTATTTCGAATTCTCAATTTTTCGATTTTTCGACTTCTCGACTTCCTATGTCCTCTATAAAATGTTCTTATTGCTCATTTTGTTATAAAATAATAATGTCAAAGGAATAAATCTTTTAATGTTTTTGAGTATAGTCCTTCCTGTATATTAGATACCTATATTAGTAATTTAGTTAACAACAAGGTCAGCAGATCTACTTTTATAAAATTTTTTAACAAACTGTTTTATTGTTTACAAGATGAAAATTTTTTTGGTGGAAAATTAAGAACAATCAAAAATACTTTTAGCACTAATATATATTTAAAAATTAATAAATACCTGTACAATTACATATTTGAAAGTATGAATTATTTTTCTTCTTCATTTTTAAATGACTAACCGCTGCGTGCAACTGACCCTTGCCCCCACTTAGACCGACCTTGTCAAAATTAAGCATTTATGAACTACCTTTCTAATATTTTTTAGTAATTTCATTATAAAAAAAATTGTAAACCCTGGCGTTTTGCAGTTTGCAGAACACGATCGATTTTATAAGAATTATAACTTTGAAACTTACGACACTAAAAATAATATGCACAGCAATCCAATTAAAATTCAGAAGACGTATAAAACTTATTTGAAATTATTTCCACGAAATATTAATTTTTCGTACATGAGAAACTATGGAACGAAACGCACGTGACTTGAAAAAACTAAACAAAAAAAAATGCGATTTTCGTGTATTTTACGCTCGAGTGTTTAATTAAACCACGCTTGCGTTACATGCGCTAACAGATTCTTGTGCAACAGACCTACAATAAGACGTCTGAGAATTCAACTATTTCACCTGAATATAATGATTTCACGATGATAAATCAAATGTCTACAAACTCTACCGAAAATTATTCTTGACTTTTACAGTTGTTTTTTTAAAAAGTACAGGGTGTCCCACTATTTACAATTTCTCCTATGACCTAGCGAATTTATAGTCGTGCTTTCCCAAATACTATCGTCACGCTCTTAAAAAATTAATTCCAAATGATGATTGTAATATTTATCGGGCGCACCCACCTATTGTGTCGTTTACGACTAATGGTAAACGTCGGCTTCAAATTAAATTTGTCCTAACAACACTCAACTGAATGCACCTCAAGTACCCACCAACCTTATCTAAATCTTCTTCAAACCGACTAAAAACGCCCACAAGTACCCCGATAACAATCATTACCAATTCATTTTCCATAAACACAAATCCGATAACGTGACAATCGCAAAGTTCACTCCACCGTCACGGAACCAACAACCGACAACACACCAGCCGTGCAGAATCAAGCGTGAACGTGTATGGTCTTTCGTCGAGACTAATTTGCTAACCATCATACCATTATTCCAATTGGAGAGGACTTCGCTCTGCTTCTCCCAGTCTTGTATGTTGACGGCCCGTCCGCCCCGCACCCTGGGCCTTCCTTTCACGTGCTGCATCCTCTGGTGAGCGGCGCGCCGCCACCTTCAAGCATCTCGCATTCCGCACCACGACTCGCACGACCTCCTCGACCAGCACTGCCTCCGTTCTGTCAGTTCGTTAGCTCGGCGTCGGGACGGACGTCGCTTTTGGACGCGATCCAACACTTCAGTCACACTTTAACGTCCGCACTGACGGAGTCGGAAACGTTCGAACGGTGAAGTTGCCTTTCGAGGCGTAATTATCCGATTTTTATGCGCCGCCGTTGGTTGTTGCTTCATGCCTCTGAGCAAATTTAATTGTTTCTTCGGCGTCACGTACGGCTGAATATTCATGTGAGGGAATGACGGTGTTATCGGTGGCAGATAAAGAGATAAGGATGAGAGGTGCAGCGAAACGCTATGTACAACGATGCACAAGCATAAAGACATTACGTAACACGTAACCGTAATAGCAATATGAGGGGCGAGCGAAGCTCGCGACTCGGCACGAAACTCCTCCCCTACACTTATTTACACAAAAACAATTTATGCTCTGTTATTTCAAGCAGATTTTGTTTAATAAATACCGACTCCGCTTTAACTAGACTTTGTTGAATTTTATTGTTGGACCTAACCTCAACTTAAGGTGAACAACACACGCTGCTCTAATTTATTCGTTCAAATATTTTCAGAACATAAAACCCGCATGTGAATTTCACATGGGATTGTTTTAAAAACAATGCAATCTCATTTAAACAAACTAAATTAAACATAATTTGACTTGTATGAGGATTAAGTTTCACAAGGGTATTATTTGGTAGTCGGTGTTATGAAATATTTAAAACTCCTCTTTGTATTATTTAAGTTTGTTTAATTGATGAACAAATTAAAATTTTACGCTGCAATTCGTCAAATTGTTTGAAAGCGAGTGAATTTTATAATATTTTTTATAAGGACGGCGCATATGAGAAAAATAAAGAAAATCGGATGTAGGTATTTATAGGACGCCGTTTATAACTCTAGAAAATGCAAACTATTTTTGTCTATTCGTTAAGACAGGTGGATGGCCGAAAACAAAAAAGAAAAATCATTTTCTACGACCTCTAGAGTGGAAGTCTGATAAGAGATTAGTGACACAAATTATAAATATAAACGCGTTGTTCAAACAACGAGGTTATCAAAAAATTTGCACAAAAACCGAAAATTAAACTACGTCAACAATAAATTATAGTAAGGTGTTTACTTTCTGCATATTATATCATACATTCTTTGCATAAATTATCTGCTCGATGAATTCAAAACCCGATTTCCACAGACCTGGATTTCCAAGCATCTTTATTTGCCTGATTTTGTTCAACGGACATTATTTCGGTCATTAATAGTCAAACTTAACGACAAATTGAATGATGACGTCAAAAGAATTATAGCTGCCGTCTTCCTATTTTTTAAAAAATTAAGTAAAAACCCAAGCGTTTTTTCGTTATCTATAAACTATTTTTTATGGCACGCATCCGTTTTTTTAAATTTATTTATCACCGTTATCACTGTATCGAGTCAAAACATTGGAATTTCTAGGGAATATGACACAAACTTGTTTACCCCACATAGTACACTAAAACTTTTATAAAAGAAAAATATGAATGGATTGATAAATCCAAGAAAAAGTTGCAAAACAGAGTCATAGAATATTGTTTTTCCCAAAAATCTAGTGTCTAAGGTAAAAACCGAACATGAAAATTCGAAAAATTGTAAAATTGAAAAATAAAAAAAAGAAATATTTAAAATATCTAGAAATTTTAAAAATCAAAATATTTAAGGACGAAAAACTGAAAAATTAAAAAAACTGAATGTTCCAATATTGCGTTTTTTCGATTCTTCGGTTTTTGAAATTTTTCAATTTTCATCAACAAAAAGAAGAAATTTACTCGAACTGAAATTTTGAAGTTTTAAAATAGGAAAATTAAAAATTTGAAAAATCGAGTAATTGAAAAAGTGAAAAAACGAAAAATTGAATTACCTAGACAGTTTACAGATTTTTCATTTTAATATTTTCAACCTATTTTTGGATTTTTCAATTTTTGAATTTTAAATTTTTCGGGAAATTTTTTAATTTCGCGACAAAAAGAACAAATTAATTCAACCTGCACTTTTGAAAAAAAATAAAATTGGAAAATGGAAAAATTAAATAGTTGAAAATTCGAGAAAGTGAAAAATTCAAAAAATACAAGGTAAATAAACATATCTAGAAACTGAAAATTCGAAAAATTGTAAAACTGAATTTAATAAAAAACGAAAAATTTAAAAGTTCTAGAAATTTTAAAAATCAACAAATTTAGGAACGAAAAACTTAAAAATAAAAAACCTGTGTTCCAATCTTTCGTTTTATTCGATTTTTAGGTTTTTGAAATTGCTCAATTGGACCGATTTTCGGTTTTAAAAATTTATTCAACCTGAAGTTTTGAAGAATTTTCAAATCGAAGGATTGAAAATTCGAGAAAGTGAAAAATTCAAAAACACGAGAAATAAAATATCTTGAAACTGAAAATTCGAAAAATTGTAAAACTGAAAAATAAAAAAAAGCAAAATTTAAAATATCTAGAAATTTTAAAAATCAAAAGATTGAAGGACGAAAAACTGAAAAATTAAAGAAACTGAATGTTCCAATCTTGCGTTTTTTCGATTCTTAGGTTTTTGAAATTTTTCCATTTTTATTTCAACAAAAAGAAATTTACTCGAACTGAAATTATGAAGTTTCAAAATAGGAAAATTAAAAATTTGAAAAATCGAGTAACTGAAAATGTGAAAAGACGAAAAATTAAAATATCTCGAAATTTTGTCCATTTTTCAATTTTTGGATTTTAAATTTTTCAGTTTTAATTTTTTAATTTCTCGACAAAAAGAACAAATTTATTCAACCTGAAATTTTGAAGAATTTTAAAATTGAAGGATTGAAAATTCGAGTAAGTGGAAAATTCAAAAAACACGTGAAATAAAATATCTGGAAACTGAAATTTCGAAAAATCGGAAAATCGGAAAACAAAAAAACGAAAAATTTAAAATATTAAGAAATTTTAGAAATCCAAAAATTCAAGGCCGAAAAATTGAAAAAATAAAAAAAAACTGAATGTTTCGTTTTTTTACAATTTTTAGGTTTTCAAATTTTTCGATTTGCCCGTTTTTCAGTTTTAATTTCAACAAAAAGAAGAAATGTATGTTATTTATTAGATTTTTCAATTTTTGGATTTTAAATGTTTCGGCTTTTTTTTAATTTCTCGACAAAAAGAACAAATTTATTCAACCTGAAATTTTGAAAAATTTTAAAATTGGAAAATTGAAAAATTATAAGCTTAAAAGTTCGAAAAAGTAAAAAATTCAAAAAACAGGAGAAATAAAATATCTGGAAACTGAAATTTCGAAAAATCGTAAAATTGAAAAATAAAAAACCGAAATATTTAAAATATCTAGAAATTTTAAAAAGCAAAAAATTAAATGAGGAAAAACTGAAAAATTAAAAAAAAACTGAATGTTCCAATCTTTCATTTTTTTCAATTTTTTGGTTTTCAAAATTTTCGATTTGCCCGTTTTTCAGTTTTAATTTCAATAAAATGAAGAAATTTATTCGAACTGAAACCTTGAAGTTTAAAAATCGGAAAATTAAATTAAATTTGAAAAATCAAGTCACAGAAAAAGAGAAAAAACTAAAAATTAAAATATCTAGAAATTTTACAAATTTTTTAATTTTTAATTTTTTCAACCGATTTTTAGATTTTTGGATTTTAAACTTTTCGGTTTAATTTTTCAATTTGTCGACTAAAAGAACAAATTTTTTAACCTGAAATTTTGAAAAATTTTTAAATTGGAAAATTGAAAAACTAAAGGGTTGAAAATTCGAGAACCATGAAAAATTCAAAAAACACGAAAAATAAAATATCTAGAAACTGAAAATTCGAAACATCGTAAAATTGAAAAATTAAAAAACGAAAAATTTAAAAAACTGAATGCTCCAATCTTTGGTTTTTTCGATTCTTAGATTTTTGAAATTTTTCAATTTTTATTTCAACAAAAAGAAGAAATTTACTCGAACTGAAATTTTGAAGTTCTAAAATAGGAAAATTAAAAATTTGAAAAATCGTACCTGAAAATGTGAAAAGACGAAAAATTAAAATATCTAGAAATTTTGTAGATTTTTCAATTTTTGGATACTAAATTTTTCAACTTCAATTTTTTAATTTCTCTGGACAAAAAGAACAAATTTATTCAACCTGATATTTTGAAGAATTTTTAAATTGAAGGATTGAAAATTCGAGAAAGTGGAAAATTCAAAAAACACGACAAATAAAATATCTGGAAAATGAAAATTCGAAAAATCAGAAAATAAAAAAAAACAAAAATTTAAAATATTTAGAAATTTTAAAAATCCAAAAATTGAAGAACGAAAAACTGAGAAATTAAAAAACAAAGAATGTTTCAATTTTCCGTTTTTCGATTCTTAGGTTTTTGAATTTTTCGATATTAATTTCAACAAAAAGAAGAAATTTATTCGAACTGAAATTTTGAAATTTTAAAACCGGAAAATTAAAATTTTGAAAAATCGAGTAACTGAAAAAGTGAAAAAACGAAAAATTAAAATGCCTTGAAATTTTATACATTTTTCACATTTTTAATTTTTTCAACCGATTTTTTGATTTTTCGATATTTGTATTTTAAATTTTTGCGGCTTTATTTTTTTAATTTCTCGACAAAAAGAACAAATGTATTCGACCTGAAATTTTGAAAAATTTTCAGTTTGGAAAATTGAAAAATTAAAGTGTTGAATATTCCAGAAAGTGAAAAATTCGAAAAACACCAGAAATAAAATATCTAGAAATTGAAAAATCGAAAAATTGTAAAATTGAAAAATAATAAAACCAAAAATTTTTGTAATTTTTCAAATTTTCAGCTTTAATTTTTTAATTTCTCGACAAAAAGAACAAATTTATTCAACCTAAAATATTGCAAAAATTTTAAAATTGGAAAACTGAAAAATGAAAGGGTTAAAAATTCGAGAAAGTGAAAAATTGAAAAATAATAATACCAAAAATTTAAAATATCTAGAAATTTTAAAAATCAAAAAATTGGAGGACGAAAAACTGAAAAAAAAAACTGAATGATTTAATCTTTCGTTTTTTCGATTCTTAGGTTTTTGAAATTTTTCGATTTTAATTTCAACAAAAAGAAGAAATTTATTCTAACTGAAATTTTGTAGATTTTTCAATTTTTCAACTTTAATTTTTTAATTTCTCAACAAAAAGAACAAATTTATTCAACATGAAATTTTATCATTGGAAAATTGAAAAACGAAAGGGTGAAAAAGTGAAAAATTCAAAAACCACCAGAAAT